CAACGTCCTTGGTTTGATTGTGTTTCTCTTCCCCTCTTTCCAAATTAGGTCATTCTTGGTGTATGTAAAATGTATACTCAAATTGTAGGTAGATTACCCATTTAAACCGATATTTTGACATAAAATTTTGTTCTTTTTCAAAAATGTGTTTGTATACATAGAAAATATACACCTGGTATTTTTTCTTCCAATGGGCCATTCTTGAGACAGACACCAACTCATCCACCAAACTATGTGTATCTTTTGGGGGGCCTTGGCCCCTCCCCACATTTATATTTTTTTTTAATTATTAATAATTTCTTTTAGCCCCACTCTTATGGGTGGACTCGGGCCGGGTGGCCCGCCCCCGAACCGGTTACTGTTTGAACCGGCCCGAGATATCCCTATAAATAATCTCAGCTTTTAATTTTTACGCTTAATTTCTATTTAAAATTAAATTTTTATAGGAGGTAATATTTGGTCATGGACCATTATTGGCGGGCGGTCCATATAGTTGGGATTATACAAAAGTAATCAATAGTTGGGATTATTATCAGTGGACCGGTTATAGTTGGGATTATTATTTTCAATTTTTACTCTCTAAATTGGTTTTAGAGCTGTTTTGAATACTTAGTTGTTATATTGACATTACTTCCATTCAATTAATCATCATTACATGCATCTTTACTTTGAAACACACTTAGAAAGTGTTATCCCGGCCCCTCGAAGCTGTCATTCCTATCTTGTATATAGATATAATGGTCCCTCCAATAGGCAGTTCTGTGTGTTTTACAATATATGAGTTGATATCACAATACTCATTTTGACTACTCTTAATGCTCAGTTGAATACATCTGATACTCATTAAAAGTGTATTAATGCTCATCTAAAAACCGTGATTTTCAATAAAATTACGAAAATGCCACCGTTTTTAATTGTGATATAAGCTTTCTTGTAAAAACACAATGCTCATTATTCGACGCTTAGTACTCATTAAAATTTGACAATTGCTCATTAACAATACACTAATGCTCATTTTTAAGACACTAGAGAATTCAACTGCGCTTTTGAACTATTCGATGCTCATTTTGTAAGTTACGTGTGCTCATCTAGTATTGATTTTATGCTCATTTTAAATTTTCATATCAATGAATATTTCAAAAATATCATATTACGTTAGATTCAAATGAGAGTTGATTGCATTCTTCTATTACTCAATAGAGGAAGTTTGATGCTCAATAAAAATGTCTTAATGCTCAGCTAACAAAACTTATATTTTCATATCAAAGCTCATTTTGTAAGTTACATATGTTCATTCAGTACTAAAGTTATGCTCATTTTAAAATATCATATCAATGTTAATTTGCTCATATGATACTTTTGAAATATGCATTGATATGACATTTTAATAATGAGCATGACGTCAGTACTAAATAAGCACACATAACTTACAAAGTGCACATTGATATGAAAATCGCAAGATTTGTTAGTTGAATATCACGACATTTTAATTGAGCATCAAATATCCGATATTGAGATGAAAATCACGGTTTCTGGTGAATGAGCATTATATTAATGAACTTTTAATGAGCATCAGACCTATTATGTTGAGTATTAGAAGTCTAATATTCAGAATCGTGATCTCTGTTTCATAACTTCTAATTGACTTTCTTTTTGTTATTTTTCCTTTTATAAAAACTTATTAAATTGTATTTCTAATCAACTCCTATGAATTTCAATATGTGAACCTAATGTAAAATAGTACTTTAAAGCAAATGCATTGTTATGACATTTAGAAAGTGAGCATAAGATTAGTACGGGATGAACATACATAACTTACAAAATGTTCGTTGATATGAATATATTGCAAAGTTTGTTAGTTTGACATAACAACATATTCATTGAGCATCAAACCTCATCTATTGAAATGAAAATCAGTTTCTGTTAAATGAGCATTAATAAACTTTTAATGTGCATCAGACCTATTATGAGCATTAAAACACTTTTGATGAGCATCGGACTTATTAGGAACCCAACAATATATAACAAAATTATAAATATATTTACATAAATTAATAGTATGATTCCTAGATCAAATAAATACTTCAAAAACATGAATTAGTCTTTTAATATAGTAATAATGAGCAAAAGCAAAGAATAGTTAATATTATAATTACTATTAACAAACAATTGTAGTACAAAGTATGAAAATATGTAGGGTAGTACAGAGAATGAAAATATGTAGGATAAAGAAGCTAAAAGAACAGATTATATCAACAAAGTAAGTTGGCAAGATGGTTGAATTTTGGGCTTTTGAAGCATGGCCTACGGTTTAGTAACTCAATTAAATTTGGGTTGGATGTACGTACACCTGGTGGTATGATATATGGACTGGGTATGATATATGGACTCGGGATATTTGGCATGACTGGCTTCCCAAACAAGTTTGGCTCGAACAGAGGCTCGGTCTAGCTAAAACCCAGTGTTATTACTGCCTTGGCTAGGTGAAATCCGAGCCAATTAGTTTGACTCAACAATCCCGAGAAAAAATATGAGCCAAGACCGAAAAATGGGAAAAGAAGTTGGCTGGCATAGTACTCCGTCGCCATTTAGCTCATACAACTTGCCAAGCCAAAATTCAGCCAAATTTTCACGTGTTGTGACATGGACACGTCCGAGCTAAAATTCACCGAGCAAAAAGCCGCGCCAAAACCAAACCAGAAACAGCGAACAACATATCCGTGTCAAGGGCCGAGTCTTAACTTGCAGGCTTAAATTCCGGTATTTTCCGATTTGAATTTATCTATTTTTATTTACTTTTAAAGTTTTCTTTAAACTAATTTTTATTAATATCATTATTCTATTATCTTAAAAAAATAGTTTTAAGTTTTTTTAACTATATTTTTATATATTTAATTATTATTTTCTTCTTATTATAATGTAAAATATGAATATCCTATTAACTTATGGTAAGGATAGAAATGTAGAACAAGAAGATAGACTGTACTTTAGTCCTATTTTGGAAAGACAAATAACATAGTCCTATTTATGCATTTAGAGATTAGTTTGGTCCTATTTTGGAGCTATTTTCTCAAAAGTATATTAGTGGTGGAATAAAGGTAAGAAAAAGAAAAATGAAATAAATAAGTGTAAGTAAAAAGAAAGTAAAGTAAAAAGGTAGTATGTTGAGAAAAAGATCTTTTATAAGAAGGAAACAAATCCGAAAAAAAATATAAAAATGAAAAGGAAAGAATAAACGGGAAGAAGAAAAAGAAGGAAAAATGGAATACATAAACATTGAAAAAAAAAATGAAAAGAAATAAAAATAAGAAGACCAAAAAGGGGAATAAAAGAGCCAAGATGATAAAAATAAAAAGGGAAAAGTTTTAGGGCGAAAAAAGAAAAATGATATATGGGACTGCTTGAATAAAAAACGCACGGATGGCAAGTTGCACATATTTTTTAATTTGTTAATGTATTTTAAATTTTAGTCTTTTTAAAAAAAATCTTTGTCAAATAAAATTTAAATATTGTGTTATTACGTAATTTTGTTTGCACCATTTTTATTTTCAAGATAAAATTGTTAATATTAATATATTTTGAAATTGAATAAATATATTGAAATAAGAAATTGAATAATGCAATACTTATTTTGCATTTGGAATAGAGTTTTTGTCACTTCAAGTCCTTCGACTATTAAGTCACTAACACTTTTAATTTGGTTCTCGACTTTAATTGTTTTCACTTTTTAGCTCTCTTAACTTTTCATACTTAGTCCACCGACTTTCATAATAGTGACACTTTTGGTTCTTCAACTATTATAATAGTGACATTTTTTCCTCCACTTATTGTGCTAGCTAAAATCATAGTTGAAGGACTAAAATTGTCAATTTGACAATACTCAGGGAATTAAATGCGGAGATCTTTGAAGTCGGGAACTAAAAGTTTCTCTAGCGGAATAGTCGAGAATTAAAAATGGAAAAACTAAAAGTCGAGTACCAAAAGCGACACCTACATGGCTACATATATAATATTTGGAGGACCGTAATTGGCAAAATCTCTCTCGATTACATGTACCTTAAGTTAATTTATAAAATCTTTTTATTACTCATAGTTACACCATATATATGTATTACAAAGAATGCTCAAAATATTACTTTTCACTTTTCAAAAGATAATAAAGATAATAGTTTCTGATATATGTTTAAATTTTGAAACTTTATATCCAATTTAAAACATCTTTATTACTCTTATTAGTATTGTTTCACGACAATAGGATTTGTATAATGTATCAGGGGAATTATTCTAATCTAATATGAAGTTCCGAATTTTAGAGAAGACTTCTTCAAAGGTGTTTTTGATTGGACTGAAATTTTATGATGTGGTCTGATTTGACCTGATATGACCTAGTTGATCTAATCTGGTTCGTTTGAGTTTGATCTTGTCTGAATTGGTAAATATCAAGTTTATGGACATTGAGAAAATTGTACACAAATAATGTATAGAACTTTGTTGAATTGTAAATTGCATTTTAAATGTTTTAACAAAAATTCCATAATTCATAATTTTATTTTTATTATTTTAATTTAAGATAATGTAGAAAGTGTAGCAGTGGAGGATGTTTTAGGAAGTTTTTTGAATTACGTAGTATAATTCCAATCGAACTCCGGGAAGTTTTTAGGATGTTTGAGATAGCTTTTAGGATATTGGAATTTGAAAAATGATTGAGGTACACAAAATGTGTACACATGTCTGTCATTTATAGAAATTTTGTCTGTCACAGACAATTCAAAAACAGTTATCTGTGACAGACAAAATTTCCGCAAAGGACAAACATGTGTACACATTTTGTATACACATTGGAATTTAGTAGAATAATCCCAACATTGAATGACAAAGATGTTACATTAACAGGTTAGGGAATGTTACGTTAAAATCATGAAGTGTACATAAAATTCTGTGATCTACCCCACGCGCGGTTTAACTGGAATCACACAAAGATGCTTCTGTTCATAGAACGAATGATGAAATTTAATATGATTTCTTTTCTAAGTCTCTAACCATCTTAATGAAGACGAAGAGCAAGAATGCAAGATACATATATAACGAGATGAGATAATGTTTGCAAATTCCGATCGGAGTTTCATTTACAATTGCTAGAAGCAAGCAGTTTACTTATAGTATACGGAAGCTATAAACTAATAGAATTCTTCATATAGTAGCTAGCGAGAAGCTTGCTTCTATATATATATTTGAAGTTTGAAACACTAGGCCGAATGTCTTTCTTCACCTTTCCACTATGCACAGAGAGACTTGCAAAAGGACCTACAATACCAACGGGTAAAAATGAGGATGTCACGTGACGTACACTTCCAAGGTAGATAAAATGAATGTAAAAGGTGGAATCTCCCATCCCAGGACTCCCCACATCTGGACCTGACAGGATGATGAAGGATGTTTTTACTTGGGCTGTAATTTGCTAGTCTGGTCTGGTTTGGTCTGAATTGGTCTGGTTCCTTTGTATTTTTATAACTATCCAGGTCTGGTCTGGTCTGAACTGGTCTAGTCTGATCTGGTCTGGGACAGATTACAGTCCAAGTAAAAACATCTGAAGTAGTAAGTCACGGTGACTCAGTTAGCAAAGTGGTGGTAGGCCATACACCCGTGCACGCCAGAGGTCCAGCCTTATTTCAGGTTTTGTAACTTCCACCCGGTCGCGGCGAGGATTCGAACATTGGTCCATTGATCCAAATTTCTCACCACTCGACCAACTGAGCTACCCTTGCGGGTAGATAAAATCTTTTAATCTTCCTACTATATATATGGGAACTCTTCCGGTAAGGTATACCTTACCGGAGCCGCCGTGCGGCCTCCATGTTTTGAGGGCCTTCTCGGTGGAATTTTTCATTTGACTGCCTTCCCGATTGAATTTTTTGCTGAAATTTGGTATGGATGTACTAGACTTGATGAAGAACATGCTCAAAAACTTTCATCGAAAAATTCCACCGGGAAGGCCCTCAAAACATGGAGGCCGCACGGCGGCTCCGGTAAGGTATACCTTACCGGAAGTTTTCCATATATATATATATATATATACAGAAAAGATTAGGTCCCTCCGGAGGGACGGGAGGGACCGTCCGAACTACTGTTTGGGGCGGTTACCGGTGGAATTGTTTGATGAAATTTTTTGAGCATGTTCCTCATCAAGTCTAGTTTGTCCATACCAAATTTCAGCTCAAAATTCGACCGGGAAGGCAGTCAAATAAATTCTTGAAGCTTACTGCACATTCTGCGCATATATAAAGTGCAGTAAGTTTCAAGAATTTATTTGACTGCCTTCCTGGTCTAATTTTGAACTGAAATTTGGTATGGACAAACTAGACTTGATGAGGAACATGCTCAAAAAATTTCATCAAAAAATTCCACCGGGAACCGCCCTAAACAGTAAAGTTCGGACGGTCCCTCCCGTCCCTCCGGAGGGACCTGAGCTGTCCTCTATATATATATATATATATATATATATATATATATATATATATATATATGGAATGGTCCTGTCCAGCAGCCCCCGGTCCAAATGCCGTCCGAACATGGTCATTTGGGGCACTTCCCGGTGGAATTTTTTGATGAAATGTTTCTAGCATGTTCCTCATCAAGTCTAGTTTGTCCATACCAAATTTCAGCTCAAAATTAGATCGGGAAGGCATTCAAATAATTTTTGAAGTTGACTGCGTCAAAATATACATATAAAAATGCAGTCAACTTCAAAAAATGATTTGAATGCCTTCCCGATCGAATTTTGAGCTGAGATTTGGTATGGACAAACTAGACTCGATGAGGAACATGCTAAAAAATTTTCATCAAAAAATTCAACCGGTAACTGCCCCAAACGGCGGTGTTCAGACGGAGGCTCCCGTCCGAACGTTCGGACCTGAACATTCTTGTATATATATATAGAGTAATCTTCCGGTCCCTCCCTTCCTGACCGGAGCGCCGTCCGGCCTCCTTTTTTTGGGTAGGTTTCCGGTGGTATTTTTTGTTCAAATTTTTTGTGTATGTTCCTCATCAAGTCTAGTTCCTCCATACCAAATTTGAGCAAAATATTCCATCGGAAGGCTCAAATGATTTTTGAAAGTTAACTGGTCCGGAATATACATATAAAACGCAGTTAACTTTCAAAAATCATTTGACAGCCTCCCCGAAGGAATTATTTGCTCAAATTTGGTATGGATGGACTAGACTTGATGAAGAACATACAAAAAACAATGAGCAAAAAATACCACCGGGAACCACCCCAAAAGGAGGAGGTCGGACGGCGCTCCGGTCAGGAAGGGAGGGACATGAATAATCCTCTATGTATATATAGAGGAATTTTCAGGTCCGAACATTCCTGGTCCGAACACCGTCCGAACATCCCCATATAAATAATCCTATATATATATATATATTTATATATATATATATATAAGTGAAAATTTCATCAAAAAATTCCACCAGGAAGGGGCCCAAATGGGGATGTTCGGACCAGGAATGTTCGGACCTGAACATTCCTCTCTCTCTCTCTCTCTCTCTCTCTCTCTCTCTATATATATATATATATATATATATATATATATATATATATATATATATATATCATGCATTACACTTTTGATTTTCACTTCTAGTCCTTCGATTAATATAAAAGTAACACTTTTGATCTTTCCATTTTGATTTTGACACAATAATGAGAGTGTAAAATGTTGCAATCAAGCAAGTGTTTAATAATATTCGAATGACACAAAGATGGGATCGGAGGATTGAAAGTGACAAAAACGCATTAAAAATGTTTTGCATGTGAACGAGAATTCAGGTAGCGTACGTATAAGCATGCATCACCTGCAGTGGCGGACCTAGGCATCGGAGGTCAGTGTATGCACATATAGAATAGGACAAATTCCTGAAATAAGACTAAAATACTTCGACACATTATAAAATATGACTGTCATGTTTTTATTTCAAAAATATGAGTAATTACTGCCAGACTTGGAAAATACTGTCATGTTTAAAAAAATTGGTACTGCCAAAAATATGAGTAATTACTCATATTCAGGGAATAAAAATACAGCAGCCTTATTTTAGAATACACAAACTTTTTTACTCATATTTAGAGCAATTTCCCTATAAAATATTAATTAATATATTATATTTCAATTTGAACTTTGCCTCTTTGAATGTATTTTTCAAATATGTAAAGTTTAGTTATAAAAATGACATAACTATATCCAAAGGGAAATAAATAGTAAAACTACGATACACTCGATTACAATATAACAAATTGAAGTAGTAGAGAATACAAAGTACAATTTATAGCTACATGTTAAAATAATAATAATAGAAATAAGTCTATCTTTAAAAACATGTTGTACGGACTAATAACTCTTTAAATTAATACTCCGTAACACACATGTTTAAAAACAAGATGTGAGGGGTTGTGATATGGGGATTGTGGGAGCTGCCTTTGAAAACGTTGGGCGAATAATACTACCAAAATTTAAAAAAAGGCGTAACCTTGAAGGGTGAGGATAATAGCACTTCGAAAATTTAAAAAATTGGGTGTAGCCATGAGGGGCTTCGACCACTTGACGTGAAGCACACAAAAGGCACTTCCATTCCAAAGGTATTGCCAGATAAACTAGCAACAACTATTGAGGTGAGGCCTGGGCTTACCCTCATTAACACATACTTCCGCCCCTGATCACCAGGATCGTCGTTGGGGATGTTAGGATAATAAAAAAGGAATGTCCATACACGCTTGAAAGACAATTTCTTATATAAAGCGATAGCAGCGTTATTGGTAGCGAGCACATGAAGGCTAACTCCTTGCAGGGACGGATCCAGGATTCTGAGTCAAGGGGGGCGAAATTTTTCGTTAGTGTAGGGGGTGAATTTTTTTTTGTTAGTGTAGCGGGGTGAAATTTTTTTCGCTACCGTAGGGCTATGCGGCTATTTTTATTAAAAAAATGATATTAATACATGCACATCCAGAACGACATTTAAATCTATTACATTCTAAGTTTAGACGATGACAAAGGCATCAACCAATACATTTTTAATAACTTCTACATTGTTTAACCTCATGAATCGGTTATTGAATTGTAATTTTTTTCCACCAAGGAGGGTGTTCGTGAGTCATGACTAATGAGAAGTTTTTTTAATATTACAATAGTAGTATACTAATATGTATGAGATTGTTATTTTTAGAATAATATGCACCACACACACACACACACACATATATATGGTGCATATTATATTTTAATATTTTTATTAATTCTATAATAATTTAGAGTTTATTATCCATGCAATAAATTATTTTTAGAAAGCAAGAAGTAAATGAATTATGTAATCTAATGTCTATAAATATTTATATTTTGGATCCATTTCACGTGATCTAAAAATTGTGTAATTAGTGTGTCTGGTATTTAATATTGTTTGATATATGTTTTACGAAATCCAGTACTTGTTATCTAATAAAGATAATTAAACATTACAAAATTAGGAATTCTTATATAATAAGTATCCTAAATCTTAAATAACGAGTTACTCTATTGTTTATTTGTTTAAGTTATGTAAATTATTTTAGATGTTTCTTCTTTTAAATCTCCAATTAAGTATTACATTATGTAAGACTATATATATTAATTTTGAAAATTAAAAGCTAAGGGGGACGAATCTAATTAAATTATGAAAGTTTTATGAAAATATTAGTAAAAAAAATTGAATGTCCAAGGGGGGCGGTCGCCCCCCCGCCCCCGCCCCCTAAATCCATCCCTGACTCCTTGGCAAGATGGCCTGCTTTTCGCATCTTTTATGGCCGTGCGGATTAGAGAAGTTCATGAACCAAAGTCCAATGGAGAAGATTTAACTTTAGCATTGATTGACAAAAAAATATTGACTTTGCAAATCAATTTGGGACGGAGAGAGTATAATTTGTGAACAAATAATTAAGTAAAACCTCACCGATTCCACGACGCCTATATATAACATCATATCCTCAGAGACTCCTACAGTAAGGATATAAAGTAGAGTCTGGTCTGGTTTTGACGGGTCAAACTTTTTCGCTGGCATCAAATCGGCCTCCTGTATACAATATCACAGAGCCTACAAATAATGAAACTAACAACAAATAATATAAAAGTAACATTTTTTATCTTTCCATTTTGATTTTGACACAATAATGAGAAGGTGAAATGTTGCAATCAAGCAAGTGTTTAATATTCGAATGACGAGAGGTGAAAAATCAATGTCGACCAAACGTGACACTGATGACACAAATTAAAGATGGGATCGGAGGATTGAAAGTGACAAAAACACATTAAAAAGATTTTGCGATAAGTCGGTACTATATGAAAGTAGCTAGTGAGAACTGAGAAGCTTGCTTTATTAGAAAGACTTACATACTACATATATGAAAGCTAGCCTCCATATGATCCACAAGTTTTATTCACGAAAAAAGTATTTAAATAATATCAACTATCAATTCATAAGTCGGTAATACAATACGAGCCCGTTTGGTAATACTAAAATTAGTTGAATAGGTTGGTTATGCTAAAATTTATGAAGTTCTGACTTGATAAGTCGGTACTATATGAAAGTAGCTAGTGAGAAGCTTGCTTCATTAGAAAGACTTACATACTACATATATGAAAGCTAGCCTCCATATGATCCACAAGTTTTATTCACGAAAAAAGTATTTAAATAATATCAACTATCAATTCATAAGTCGGTAATACAATACGAGCCCGTTTGGTAATACTAAAATTAGTTGAATAGGTTGGTTATGCTAAAATTTATGAAGTTCTGACTTGAGTGCCTGCAATGGCTCATTCTGTTGATTTGTGAAGAAATGATATTTAAAATATATTACTAATATTAATAAGATATAAAAAAATTATATGAAAAATAACTAAAATGACCATCTATAGTAACTTCAGCCAATTCTATCATAAAAGTAAGTCCAACTTAACCTTACTTATTTTGATTGTTACACAATCAAAATAAGCCAAAGTTAACTGGTAAGGCTGACAAGCCAAAAAAGGGAAACCAAACAAACTCTAAATTTGATATCCAACAATAAAATAAATGAAATCACATTTTGTAATGATCGGGACTAGCAGTGTTACATATATGATTTTCAATTCAATGTGTTCTAGTTTTATTTAATTTGATATTATCCGATTTAATCTGATCTATTTTATCAAAGGTCTTATAAAGTGGAGGACCTAGAGAGGCATATATGGGAGCAAGGGCCTTCGCTTCCGGTTTTGAAAAATAGTACTATTACGAGGCCATTTGGCAACACTGTTTTTCGGTTTTTCAGGTTTATCAGACAACTTTTTCATCAAACACGTAATTTTTGCTTTCGCGCACTGAATTGTCTAATAAGCAGAAAAAGTAAGGTTGAAGTTACTTTTCTGGCTGTCTTGGCTGAATTTACTGTAGATGATCATTTTAGTCATTTTTGCATATAATATTTTCTTTGTTTTATTAATATAATATATTTTAAAAATAATTTTTTTCTTAAATCAGCAGAATCAGCCAATGTAGCCACTTCAGCTAGAATTTCATAAATTTCAGCTGAATCAGCCAAATCAACCGATTTTCGTGCTACCAAATGGGCTCTTAATGAGGTATTATGCGAGTGTCATCGCTTTTTATCTAGTTGAATCGCTTATGTTTAATAGAAACATTGTTGTGATTAGAAAGATAATTGTATGATCATTTTAAGCCAAAATCTAAATTATTGTCTACATAGATCAGAGTAACTTTGACTCAACTATTGGAATTCCAATGAAGTGTCCTCACCATCATTGCATATTCAGAAATTGTCCTAAATAGGAGTAAAAACGTTTTGAAATTCCAAAATAGGAGTATCATGTTTTTTATTCCCTGAATAGAAGTAATCTGCCAAGTTTGAAAGAAAATGCCATGTTTAAAGCCTTATAATGCCCAAACTTGGCAGGAATTTACTCCTATTTAGGGAATAAAAAACATGATACTCCTATTTTGGAATTTCAAAACGTTTTTACTCCTATTTAGGGAATTCTCTCTTGCATATTTGCATTATAGTGAGCTACTTTGTGGCAATTTTACAGTACGCATTATCCTAAAATAAAGTCGTCATTTCAGTTTATAATACGGAGTACAAAATTGAGTTTAAATTTAAATTTTCCCTAATTATAAAGTAGTATAAATAATGCAATCCACATGCTTAAATAATTGCAACATGTTGAATTAATTTTTGAAAATTTCATTGTATTCATCTTGTCATAAGTTTTCGAAATCTGAATTTTTTATTGTTTTTACTAATTGAGAAATAAAAGAGAAGTGTTGCAATTAAAAGAGACTTTCAAAGTCTTGCCGGGGGAAGAAGCTAAGTAGCTACGGTCAACTCTAAACTATCTTTCTTCTTTCACTCATAGCTATCTTACTGTGAGGATTCCCCCTTGTATTTCCCATAGGCTAGGAAAGGTTAGTAATAGGCTAAACACTACAAGTCTTGGAGCTAGGCAGCTCAGTATGGTATGAGGATCGAAGGGAAGCTAACAATGGGGATGCCCCTAGTTGTTGAATTCCTTAATTTCCTTTAGTTGGAATGAAGAGCTCCGACCTTCTCTTATGGCGCAACTAGACCAGAACGATCGAGCTAGTTGATAGAGCTCTTATGCCCACTTCTCCAAGTTAGGTCCGAAGATGCGACTAGAACTGAAAGAAGAGGAAGGTAGGACTTTGGCGAAGCCAGTAAAGTTTCGGTGCATCAACCTCTTTTCTTTCATCTGAAGGTTTGCACTACTTTTCTCATGAAAAATGACTTTGCACGGATTTTGGCATGAATTTGGGGTTCCTTACCAAAATCGTGTTGTGAAAAATTTAGTATGGTGTTGTGACAAATATTTGTATATTTGTATCAATTCATGACAAATCCATTGCAAAATTGTTGTTTTAATTTAAATATAATAATGGGCCGCTACATAGAATCGCGTATTAAAATATAGTGCTACCCAACGATAGAATGAGTAGAAATGAATTGAACTTCTTTTTAATTGGGATGGTTTTCTATTATATTTCGAACTAATAATTTACTACGTATTTAACATGTAGGGTTTTCCGATTAACATCATAATTCTGGATGGAATCTACACTGCTATTTGTAGTCCATAACCTAAGTAGAATTCTGATAACGAATTAGAAATGATGTACAGATTATCTGATTCTAGTATGTTTAACGTTTACACATGGGCAATATCAATGGAATCTACACTGCTATTTGTAGTCCATAACCTAAGTAGAATTCTGATAACGAATTAGAAATGATGTACAGATTATCTGATTCTAGTATGTTTAACGTTTCCACATTTAGTGTATATCTTTCATTATGTCCACTTTTAGTACTTGACTAATATTTAATGACCATTTGTGGTCAGTTTTTGGCGATTCTTAGCACAAAAACATTGACGAAATGACCAATATATGAACGATAACATAATAGTCATTCATCAAAAATGATCAAAATGAAAGAAGTTAATCAATTAGGGAATTGATGCAATACTAATAGGACCAAAATTAGAATTTACTCTTAGGACATCTATATGTATAAGGGGTAAGATGATGGAGTCAAGAAATAACCAACACAAAATAAGATCGAGATCCTAACCTGACAGGAAACAAATCTTTATGCATCTCCTTAAGAACCTCTAAATCAGAACGTTGTAAAAGTCTATAAGTTAATTTCACCGAGTCACCCATGTCTTCAACTAACTCCAATCAATTTTATTCAACTCATACCACGTATTTATAGCACCTCACATGCAGGGATGAATATAACGAGAATTAAAAAGAAATGTTATACGTACATATATAATATTTTTATAATCTCTTATACTTTTACTAGTTATATATACTCAATGCCCCCCCCCCCCCCCCTAGTTTCTAGATTTTGAATATTAATTTGACTACCTGTACTTATTTAAACCCTTGAATATAAATTAATTTATACTTCCCTCGATCAATACGTAACGTTTACCAAGCACAGTATGTTGAATCAACAAGCTAGCATACTCCTAGGGTATGTAGCACAAAGAGCCCATTTGATGACTCTGTTTTTCGTCATAACAGACTTACCAATCAACTTTTTCATCAAACACGTAACTTTTTATTTTGCGGGCTGAATAATGTAATAATAAGAAAAAGTAAGGTTGAAATTACTTTTCTGGCTGTATTGGTTGAAGTTACTGTATAAGATCATTAGAGCTATTTTCATGTGATTTTTATTTTATTTTATTAATAAAATATATTTTAAATAATATTTTTTCATAAATTGGCAGAATCAGCCAATGCAGTCAAAGCTTCATAAATTTCAACAGAATCAGTCGATTCAGTCGATTTCAATGTTACCAAACGGGCTCTAAATAAAGATCAAATTGAATGAGTATCAAGGAAACTCGGTCGCCGAAAGAGTGCGTACGATGCTATCGTACGGGTAGGTTAAGAATACACATCTTTATCTTTTTATAATAATACCTAAAGTAGCAAAATTGCTACATATTTTGGTGGCAAAATTCTCGCCCAATGAAGGGTAAATCTGGAAATTTATTTGCCAAAAATTTAATGTCGACCACTTTAGCACAATTTTCCTTTTTTGACTTGAGTACACTCTTGCTCTTGAAGGGAAGTATGCAAGATTTACCTTCTAGATTAACGTGAAGTTATTGCCAATTAAACAAGAAACAATTTGCATATATGGTTATTTATAAAATTTTATAAATATATAGGAAAGTAGGAAAGTATACTCCTCTTACTTTATATATCAAAATTTTATAAAATTTGAATTATTTTTTGTAGGCTTTGTAGCGGTTTTAATGTAGTTTCTGAATATGTAAATTTTATTGTCTCAAACTAATTTGAGTATTGAAAGGGATCGATTTGCTTTATCGTCGGTCAAATATCATCAAGCATAAAATGCCTTATGATTTGGAATGGAGGGAGTACTTTTTATATTAATATTAAATACTCCGTATTAATATTTGGATAGAAATGGAAACTTCATTCTTTGATAGTAGTGTTGAGAAATTTATCGAAACAATTTGTTTTACGTATTGACTATTTAATTACAACTCCATGCATGTTTACCTAGGGCCCGTTTGGTAACACCCAAATCGTTTATATCGGCTGATTCTACTAAAATTTATGATGTTCTAGCTGATGTGGTTGTATTGGTTAATTTTGCTGATTTGTGAAAAAAATATTTAAAATATAATTTATTAATAAAATAAAGAAAAAATTATATGAAAAATAGGCCCTTGAACTTACATAAAAAGGTCAAATAAGCCCTTATATAAAAAGCCCTGTCTGGCCTTCTCCATTTAGGGCAATTCTCGTTGGAATTTTTTGATGAAATTTTTTGAGCATCTTATTCATTAAGTCTAGTTTACTCATACCAGATTTACCCTTCATAGATCAGTACTATGACGAAGACGGCGAACTCCCGTGACGGAGGTGGACAGGTAGACCGCAGTGACAGTCTGGATTTAAAAGTCTATGGACAATTTGAAAGTCTTTAAACTTATCCATTGATTTAAAAGTCAATAGAGCCCATTCATAAAATAGTTTATGGATCGACAAAGGACTAAATACATAATTACTTAATACTTGAATTAAAGCAACACAATTCGTCATTCAAAAAAAAATTTGAGAAAATGAGCGCTAAAAGGATTGACAAATAAAAAAATGGAAGATCTGCAATTTTCTTATTTACTGATCTGAATTAATTTTAGTCACTTTATTTTGTAATTGGTGGACCCTATTCTGTAGAACCAGATTAACCTGTTAAAAATGGAGAATGTTACCCAAAATAGGACTAAAAAGATTTGAAAATTCCAATATAGGACTGCCATATTTTTATTCCCAAAATATGACTAATTACTGTCATGTTTTAGCAGTACCAGACTTCAAACATAACAGTATTTTCCAAACTTGACAGTGATTAATCCTATTTTGGGAATAAAAAACATAGCAGTCCTATTTTGGAATTTCCAAACTGTTTTAGGTCTATTTCGGGAACTTTCCCTTTGAAATGAGCATGCACGGCGAGCGTACGTAGCGTGACCTGTTTCCCAAACGGCGGCGACGACGACGATGTGCTTGAACCCCAACAACGGTGGCTGCCGGGAAACGGGTTACATTTAACCGAGAAACCGGTTACTTACTGACCGAAAGGGCTTAATTCAACGTTTTTTAATAGTTCAAGGACTTAATTGAGTGTTTGTAAAGTATGAGGGCCTAATCGACTTTTTCGGCATAGTACGGGGGCTTATTTGATAGTTTTCCCAATTTACACGTTAATGCTTACGGAGTCGCGTATACTGACGTGCACTTTGTCGTGAGTGCACTCAAAGTAAATTCAATACAACACTTATACGTAGTATAGGTGAAGTAGAGTTCGTATCCACAGGGAAAGGAAAAACTCTTCTTTTTAGGTAACTAGTAAATAAAGGGGGGTTTTGGGTTGAATGATTTAATTAAATTAAACACGAAGATGAACGAGTTATATGAGATTTAATTCAAAGATAAAAGTGACTTGGCATTGCTACTTTCCACTTGTTGATATATTTTAGTCGATCATTGTTATATCTATAACTTATCTCCTCTCGAATACTCAATCGAGGAGTATATCCAATTCATCGAGGATAGTTATTAACAACGACCGTTCATTAATAACCCTTACTATTAGTCAAGTATAGAACAACGTCATATACCGACTTGATAGTAGCATTTAATCTTTTAACTCCTTGATGAAATCAATTGAGATTGATAACCTCAACACAACGGTTTCGGTTTAACCAACAAAATTAATCCCTCTTAAGTTCATTAACCACGACCGTGCATTAATAAACCGAAGTTACTTACTTGTGAAACTATCAACGATTAACCATCGGTTCGTTGATCGTTTCTAGTAATAATTAATACGTGAAACAAAACTAGTTGATCCTTTAAGTAATGTTCAAAATATTAATATGAAATATGAATAGGGATTAATTAATACTCAAGGAAGAATATTAAAGGGAATGAATCCTACTATAGTTAAGTATCAAGATGTTAACTAATTGTCATCTTAGTAACACTTCCCGATATTAACACAGAGGAAGGAATAGCTATTACTAAAACCAATGTCAAGATGTTAACTAATTGTCATCTTAGTAACACTCCCCAACATTGATATAGAAATAGTATTTAAAGGAAGAATTAATATTCAAGGAAAAGAAGTTAAGAAAATAACTCACAACTTTAATAATCAACAAGCTTCAAGAGCAATACCAAGAAATGGAAGTTTAGCTCCTCATTTGGAGACTAAACATGCTAAAAGAAATATAAAGAAATGCTATTCTAAACTGAGCTTAAGAGTATAAAGGAATTGGTTTTTTAAAGTGAAGGAAAGGAGGTGTATTTATAGGCTTTTTGAGGTGCAGGCTCGGGTACTCGATCGAGTATATACAGATACTCGATCGAGTATGTGTAGAAATACCAGATTCGAGGTATACTCGATCGAGTATATGTTCATACTCGGTCGAGTATGTGCAGAAAGTGATATTCGAGCCATACTCGACCGATTTCGGGTTTAAACTCAAAGGCATACTCGATCGGGTATGTCGGTCTACCCGATCGAGTATAGACACTAAATCGTGGCCAAAATCTTCCCGACATGTTCCTTTGTCTTCGGATCCGATCCGATTTGAAGTTTCAACCTTATACTCGATCGAGTATAGGTAATACTCGACCGAGTATAGACCAAAATCAGGATTTTCCCTTTTGTCTTGTGATTTTGCACCTTCCTTCCACTTTTGGGGTTCACCAACTGTCCTTTGAGTGATAGTAGACCTGTTTGAGCTCAGAATAATCCTAATCTAAACAATTTACAAGGATTTAACAAACTAAACTATTACACCAAAAGTGTGTAATTTCCAAAATATTAAACAACCAAAACTAGCTAAAAACATAAACAAACATACGGAAATTACAAACGTATCAACTCCCCCACACTTAGTTCTTTACTCGACCTCGAGTAAAACAGAAACATCCAAACGGTTTAAGAGTTTTCCAAGAGTTCAAGAAAGAAAGAACTAAGACCACCAAGGGGAAAAATGAACAACATTCTTTCTTGGGTTTAATGATCTTCTATGCTCCATCTTCTTGCCTTTTTTTCTTCTTTTTCTTCTCTCCTTCCTCTTTTTCTCCAAAGAGATTAAATGAGTGCATGCAAAAACAAATACGGAGTATTTCTCTCATATCTCTCATTTTGCCTAGGAGCCTTTTCAGGTTTTCATCCTAGCATCTCTTTTCATTTTCCATTCTCCCAACTCACTCATCATTTTTCACAAGCCTTTTTTTCTTTTTCTTAGATTGCCCATTTTGTTGGGTTTTCAACCTAACTAGCATTTCTTTTCTTCATTTTTTTTTTGTTTTTTTTTTGTTTTTTTAAAGAAGTTCATGCGTAGTAAAAGGTAGAAAATAAGATTACATACCCATGATGAGTCTCCTCCCCCACACTTAGTTCATGCACTGTCCCTAGTGCCCAATTTCGGCTTTTGTTGTTTGTGGAGTAGGGTGATTTTGATTTTTGGTGGGTTGTGGGTGTTTTGGTGGGGAAATGATGGAGATATGGTAGAGAGAAGGTAGAAAAATGGAGTTTTGGGGAGAAGGGATCGAGGTTGGTATGGGTGTTTGGAGAAGATGAAGTGTTTTGGGGTGTGTTTTGGGGTTAAATCGCAGGTATACCCGATCGGGTGCCTCTCTATACCCGATCGGGTACTGGAGACAGGGGGTGCGAATATGGCTTTTCCAGTGATACTCGACCGAGTATTGATAGATACTCGATAGGGTATAGGAGACAGGCTGCTCGTGGTTTTGATTTTCCAGACATACTCGACCGAGTATTGACTTATACTCGATCGGGTATGTCTCCAAATACACCTTTTTTTTTTCTCCCTTTTTTTTTTACACACGCACACAAACTGAAATAAACATGAAAAGAAAACATACCTTGCTTGGGTTGCCTCCCAAGAAGCGCCTAATTTAACGTCGCGGCACGACGCCATCATTGTGTTCAATCGTTCAAGCTTGGATCATGATAATTAATTTTCTTCAAATTTTCACTCATAGGACCTCCATAGGAGTGCTCAATTTCTCGACTCTCCACTTTGGAAATCTTTCCAGGATCAAATATCCAGATTTTCATTGATTTATGTGGTGGGAGGAAGGGGAAGAAATTATCATGTAGTATGGTCAATGAAAAGTTTTTCGATCCCTCAATTTTGAAGGAGATTTCAGAAATGTCATTTTCCATTTCAAGTTTACGAGATTCTCTTAAAGCTTCCAGAGATGATGGAGATACCTCAAAGGATGACAATGACAAAAATTTGAATTTGAAGCTCGGCTTATCCTTTTCTTTGACCAGTTGGAGCTCCGTGTCTTTTTCTTCTTCTACTTCTTCTGGATTCTGGATCTCCTTTTGTATCTTCTTTTCATTTGTCAATGTGATTGCAAAAGTTTGCTGTTTAGGATCACATTCTATTTGAGAAGGAAGTTTTTCTGAATCCCTTGCTTCAAGCCTACTCACGGCTCCGGCTATTTGACTCATTTGAGTTTCCAAGTTTAAAATGCTAGACTTGGTCTCATTTTGGAATTGTACCATGTTGTTTTGCATGGTGGTCATGTTGGTAGCAATAGCCCGGACCATATCCTCCGTAGACATGTTAGAGTTGGAGAACGGATCATACCTCATTTGAGGTACATCCCTTTCGTAACCAACCTCATCAATTTGTTCAAGGTATTCATCTTGGAGCTTTGGGCAGAAATCCGTTAGATGCCTGTGAGACATGCAAATGTTGCATATCTTGGCATCTTGAGCTTCTGAGCTTAAGATATATTCCTTTATTAGAGAAGTCAAGAAGGAAATCTGACTCTCTAAGGATGAAATGTTGGTATCCATATACTCATAACTCATGTAAGCTCAGAAAATAGAAGAGTAAGATTTTTTTTTTTATATATATATTTTTTTTTTGTTTTTGATTTTTATGAGATAAAATAAAAAGAAAAATAATTACCTTTCCCCGGCAACGGCGCCAAATTTGACGTGCACTTTGTCGTGAGTGCACTCAAAGTAAATTCAATACAACACTTATACGTAGTATAGGTGAAGTAGAGTTCGTATCCACAGGGAAAGGAAAAACTCTTCTTTTTAGGTAACTAGTAAATAAAGGGGGGTTTTGGGTTGAATGATTTAATTAAATTAAACACGAAGATGAACGAGTTATATGAGATTTAATTCAAAGATAAAAGTGACTTGGCATTGCTACTTTCCACTTGTTGATATATTTTAGTCGATCATTGTTATATCTATAACTTATCTCCTCTCGAATACTCAATCGAGGAGTATATCCAATTCATCGAGGATAGTTATTAACAACGACCGTTCATTAATAACCCTTACTATTAGTCAAGTATAGAACAACGTCATATACCGACTTGATAGTAGCATTTAATCTTTTAACTCCTTGATGAAATCAATTGAGATTGATAACCTCAACACAACGGTTTCGGTTTAACCAACAAAATTAATCCCTCTTAAGTTCATTAACCACGACCGTGCATTAATAAACCGAAGTTACTTACTTGTGAAACTATCAACGATTAACCATCGGTTCGTTGATCGTTTCTAGTAATAATTAATACGTGAAACAAAACTAGTTGATCCTTTAAGTAATGTTCAAAATATTAATATGAAATATGAATAGGGATTAATTAATACTCAAGGAAGAATATTAAAGGGAATGAATCCTACTATAGTTAAGTATCAAGATGTTAACTAATTGTCATCTTAGTAACACTTCCCGATATTAACACAGAGGAAGGAATAGCTATTACTAAAACCAATGTCAAGATGTTAACTAATTGTCATCTTAGTAACACTCCCCAACATTGATATAGAAATAGTATTTAAAGGAAGAATTAATATTCAAGGAAAAGAAGTTAAGAAAATAACTCACAACTTTAATAATCAACAAGCTTCAAGAGCAATACCAAGAAATGGAAGTTTAGCTCCTCATTTGGAGACTAAACATGCTAAAAGAAATATAAAGAAATGCTATTCTAAACTGAGCTTAAGAGTATAAAGGAATTGGTTTTTTAAAGTGAAGGAAAGGAGGTATATTTATAGGCTTTTTGAGGTGCAGGCTCGGGTACTCGATCGAGTATATACAGATACTCGATCGAGTATGTGTAGAAATACCAGATTCGAGGTATACTCGATCGAGTATATGTTCATACTCGGTCGAGTATGTGCAGAAAGTGATATTCGAGCCATACTCGACCGATTTCGGGTTTAAACTCAAAGGCATACTCGATCGGGTATGTCGGTCTACCCGATCGAGTATAGACACTAAATCGTGGCCAAAATCTTCCCGACATGTTCCTTTGTCTTCGGATCCGATCCGATTTGAAGTTTCAACCTTATACTCGATCGAGTATAGGTAATACTCGACCGAGTATAGACCAAAATCAGGATTTTCCCTTTTGTCTTGTGATTTTGCACCTTCCTTCCACTTTTGGGGTTCACCAACTGTCCTTTGAGTGATAGTAGACCTGTTTGAGCTCAGAATAATCCTAATCTAAACAATTTACAAGGATTTAACAAACTAAACTATTACACCAAAAGTGTGTAATTTCCAAAATATTAAACAACCAAAACTAGCTAAAAACATAAAAAGAAGATGAATAAAAAAAAACGGATTATAAAAACAATCAAAGTAAAATTGACACGATTATTTTATGCATGTCTCACAGACATCTTACGGATTTCTGCCCAAAGCTCCAAGATGAATACCTTAAAAGTGATGATGTTGGTTACAAAAGGGATGAACCTCACATGAGGTATGATCCGTTCTCCAACTCTAACATGTCTACGGAGGATATGGTCCGGGCTATTGCTACCAACATGACCACCATGCAAAACAACATGGTACAATTCCAAAATGAGACCAAGTCTAGCATTTTAAACTTGGAAACTCAAATGAGTCAAATAGCCGGAGCCGTGAGTAGGCTTGAAACAAGGGATTCAGAAAATCTTCCTTCTCAAATAGAATGTGATCCTAAACAGCAAACTTTTGCAATCACATTTACAAATGAAAAGGAGATACAAAAGGAGATCCAGAATCCAGAAGAAGTAGAAGAAGAAAAAGACACGGAGCTCCAACTGGTCAAAGAAGAGGATAAGCCGAGCTTCAAATTCAAACTTTTGTCATTATCATCCTTTGAGGTATCTCCATCATCCCTGGACCCTTTAAGAGAAACTCATAAACTTGAAAAGGACAATGACATTTCTGAAATCTCCTTCAAAATTGAGGGATCGAAAAACTTTTCATTGACCATACTACATGATAATTTCTTCCCCTTCCTCCCACCACATAAATCAATGAAAATCTGGATATTTGATCCTGGAAAGATTTCCAAAGTGGAGAGTCGAGAAATTGAGCACTCCTATGGAGGTCCTAGGAGTGAAAATTTGAAGAAAATTAATTATCACGATCCAAGCTTGAACGATTGAACACAATGATGGCGTCGTGCCGCGACGTTAAATTAGGCGCTTCTTGGGAGGCAACCCAAGCAAGGTATGTTTTCTTTTCATGTTTATTTCAGTTTGTGTGCGTGTGTAAAAAAAAAAAAGGTGTATTTGGAGACATACCCGATCGAGTATAAGTCAATACTCGGTCGAGTATGTCTGGAAAATCAAAACCACGAGCAGCCTGTCTCCTATACCCTATCGAGTATCTATCAATACTCGGTCGAGTATCACTGGAAAAGCCATATTCACACCCCCTGTCTCCAGTACCCGATCGGGTATAGAGAGGCACCCGATCGGATATACCTGCGATTTAACCCCAAAACACACCCCAAAACACTTCATCTTCTCCAAACACCCATACCAACCTCGACCCCTTCTCCCCAAAACTCCATTTTTTCTACCTTCCCTCTACCATATCTCCATTATTTCTCCACCAAAACACCCACAACCCACCAAAAAGCAAAATCACCTTACTCCACAAACAACAAAAGCCGAAATTGGGCACTAGGGACAGTGCTTGAACTAAGTGTGTGGGAGGAGACTCATCATGAGTATGTAATCTTATTTTCTACCTTTTACTACGCATGAACTTCTTTAAAAAAAAAAAAAAAAAAAATAAAAAATAAAAAAAAAAAAGAAAAAAAAAAAAAAAAAAAAGAAAAAAAAAATAAAAAAAAAAAAAAAAAAAAAAAAAAAAGAAAAAAAAAAAAAAAGAAAAGAAAAAAAAAAAAAAAGAAAAAAAAAAAAAAAAAAAAAAAAAAAGAAAAAAAAAAAAAAAAAAAAAAAAAAAAAAATCAAAGTAAAATTGACACGATTATTTTATTCATGTCTATAATCCGTTTTTTTTTATGCATGTCTCACAGACATCTTACGGATTGAGTAAGATGAGTAAAATTTTACGTATGGGCAGACATCCGTAAGATGAGTAAAATTTTAGCTAAAAATTGATTTTTTATCTGTGAGACATACATAAAAAAAAGAAAAATAATTGCCTTTCCCCGGCAACGGCGCCAAATTTGACGTGCACTTTGTCGTGAGTGCACTCAAAGTAAATTTCAATACAACACTTATACGTAGTATAGCGTAGTAGAGTTCGTATCCACAGGGAAAGGAATAACTTTCTTTTTATATAAATAGTAAGTAAAAGGGGGGGTTTTTGATTGTTGAGTGATTCAATTAAATTAAACACGAAGATGAACGATTTATATGGGATTTAATTCAAAGATAAAAGGGACTTGGTCTTGCTACTTTCCACTTGTTGATATATTTTAGTCGATCATTGTTATATCCATAACTTATCCCCTCTCGAATACTCAATCGCGGAGTATAACCAGTTCATCGAGGGTAGTTATTAACAACGACCGTTCATTAATAACCCTTACTATTAATCAAATATAGAACAACGCCGTATACCGATATAATAGTAGCATTCAATCTATTTAACTCCTTGATGAAATCAATTGAGATTGATAACCTCAACGCAACGGTTTTGGTTTAACCAACAAAATTGATCCCTCTTAAGTTTATTAACCACGACCGTGCATTAACAAACCGAAGTTACTTACTTGTGAAACCTTCAACGTTTAACCATCGGTTCATTGAACGTTTCTAGTAATAATCAATGTTGGAACGTTAACTAATCGTCACTTAGCCACCCTCCAACAATGATATAGAACGAGATTAAGGGAAGAATTAATATTCAAGAGGAGAAAGTAAGAAAATAAACTCACAACTTTAATAATCAATCAAGCTTCAAGAGCAAAACCAAGAAATGGAAGTTTAGCTCCTCATTTGGAGACTAAACATGCTAAAAGAAATATAGAGAAATGCTATTCTAAACTGAGCTTAAGAGTATATGGGAATTGGTTCCTTAAAGTGAAGGAAAGGAGGTGTATTTATAGGCATTTTGAGGTGCAGGCTCGGGTACTCGATCGAGTATATACAGATACTCGATCGAGTATGTGTAGAAATACCAGATTCGAGGTATACTCGATCGAGTATATGTTCATACTCGGTCGAGTATGTGCAGAAAGTGATATTCGAGCCATACTCGACCGATTTCGGATTTAAACTCAAAGGCATACTCGATCGGGTATGTCGGTCTACCCGATCGAGTATAGACACTAAATCGTGGCCAAAATCTTCCCGGCATGTTCCTTTGTCTTCGGATCCGATCCGATTTGAAGTTTCAACCTTATACTCGATCGAGTATAGGTAATACTCGACCGAGTATAGACCAAAATCAGGATTTTCCCTTTTGTCTTGTGATTTTGCACCTTCCTTCCACTTTTGGGGTTCACCAACTGTCCTTTGAGTGATGGTAGACCTGTTTGAGCTCAGAATGACCCTAATCTAAACAAATTACAAGAATTCAACAAACTAAACTATTACACCAAAAGTGTGTAATTTCCGAAATACTAAACAACCAAAACTAGCTAAAAACGTAAACATACATACGGAAATTACAAGTGTATCAACTCCCCCACACTTAGTTCTTTACTCGACCTCGAGTAAAACAGAAACATCCAACCGGTTTAAGAGTTTTCCAAAAGTTCAAGAAAGAAGGAAACTAAGACCACCAAGGGGAAAAATGAGTTTTTACAACAACATTCTTTCTTGGGTTTAATGATCTTCTATGCTCCATCTTCTTGCCCTTTTTTTTTCTTCTTTTTCTTCTCTTCTTCCTCTTTTTCTCCAAAGAGATTAAATGAGTGCATGCAAAAATAAATATTTCTCTCATATCTCTCATTTTGCCTAGAAGCCTTTTCAGGTTTTCATCCTAGCATCTCTTTTCATTTTCCATTCTCCCAACCCACTCATCATTTTTCACAAGCCTTTTTTTGCTTAGATTGCCCATTTTGTTGGGTTTTCAACCTAACTAGCATTTCTTTTCTTCATTTTTTTTGTTTTTTTTTGTTTTTTTTTTTAAAGAAGTTCATGCGTAGTAAAAGGTAGAAAATAAGATTACATACTCATGATGAGTCTCCTCCCACACACTTAGTTCAAGCACTGTCCCTAGTGCCCAATTTCGGCTTTTGTTGTTTGTGGAGTAAGGTGATTTTGCTTTTTGGTGGGTTGTGGGTGTTTTGGTGGAGAAATAATGGAGATATGGTAGAGGGAAGGTAGAAAAAATGGAGTTTTGGGGAGAAGGGGTCGAGGTTGGTATGGGTGTTTGGAGAAGATGAAGTGTTTTGGGGTGTGTTTTGGGGTTAAATCGCAGGTATATCCGATCGGGTGCCTCTCTATACCCGATCGGGTACTGGAGACAGGGGGTGTGAATATGGCTTTTCCAGTGATACTCGACCGAGTATTGATAGATACTCGATAGGGTATAGGAGACAGGCTGCTCGTGGTTTTGATTTTCCAGACATACTCGACCGAGTATTGACTTATACTCGATCGGGTATGTCTCCAAATACACCTTTTTTTTTTTTTTTTTTTTACACACGCACACAAACTGAAATAAACATGAAAAGAAAACATACCTTGCTTGGGTTGCCTCCCAAGAAGCGCCTAATTTAACGTCGCGGCACGACGCCATCATTGTGTTCAATCGTTCAAGCTTGGATCGTGATAATTAATTTTCTTCAAATTTTCACTCCTAGGACCTCCATAGGAGTGCTCAATTTCTCGACTCTCCACTTTGGAAATCTTTCCAGGATCAAATATCCAGATTTTCATTGATTTATGTGGTGGGAGGAAGGGGAAGAAATTATCATGTAGTATGGTCAATGAAAAGTTTTTCGATCCCTCAATTTTGAAGGAGATTTCAGAAATGTCATTGTCCTTTTCAAGTTTATGAGTTTCTCTTAAAGGGTCCAGGGATGATGGAGATACCTCAAAGGATGATAATGACAAAAGTTTGAATTTGAAGCTCGGCTTATCCTCTTCTTTGACCAGTTGGAGCTCCGTGTCTTTTTCTTCTTCTACTTCTTCTGGATTCTGGATCTCCTTTTGTATCTCCTTTTCATTTGTAAATGTGATTGCAAAAGTTTGCTGTTTAGGATCACATTCTATTTGAGAAGGAAGATTTTCTGAATCCCTTGTTTCAAGCCTACTCACGGCTCCGGCTATTTGACTCATTTGAGTTTCCAAGTTTAAAATGCTAGACTTGGTCTCATTTTGGAATTGTACCATGTTGTTTTGCATGGTGGTCATGTTGGTAGCAATAGCCCGGACCATATCCTCCGTAGACATGTTAGAGTTGGAGAACGGATCATACCTCATGTGAGGTTCATCCCTTTTGTAACCAACATCATCACTTTTAAGGTATTCATCTTGGAGCTTTGGGCAGAAATCCGTAAGATGTCTGTGAGACATGCAAATGTTGCATGTGTTGGCATCTTGAGCTTCCGAGTTTAAAATAAATTCCTTTATTAGAGAAGTCAAGAAGGAAATTTGACTCTCTAAGGATGATATGTTGGCATCCATATACTCATAACTCATGTAAGCTCAGAAAATAGAGGAGTAAGTTTTTTTTTTTTTTAATATTTTTTTTTTATTTTTATTTTTATTTTTTTGTTTTTGATTTTTATGAGATAAAATAAAAAGAAAAATAATTGCCTTTCCCCCGGCAACGGCGCCAAATTTGACGTGCACTTTGTCGTGAGTGCACTCAAAGTAAATTCAATACAACACTTATACGTAGTATAGGTGAAGTAGAGTTCGTATCCACAGGGAAAGGAAAAACTCTTCTTTTTAGGTAACTAGTAAATAAAGGGGGGTTTTGGGTTGAATGATTTAATTAAATTAAACACGAAGATGAACGATTTATATGGGATTTAATTCAAAGATAAAAGGGACTTGGTCTTGCTACTTTCCACTTGTTGATATATTTTAGTCGATCATTGTTATATCCATAACTTATCCCCTCTCGAATACTCAATCGCGGAGTATAACCAGTTCATCGAGGGTAGTTATTAACAACGACCGTTCATTAATAACCCTTACTATTAATCAAATATAGAACAACGCCGTATACCGATATAATAGTAGCATTCAATCTATTTAACTCCTTGATGAAATCAATTGAGATTGATAACCTTGGTTCCTTAAAGTGAAGGAAAGGAGGTGTATTTATAGGCATTTTGAGGTGCAGGCTCGGGTACTCGATCGAGTATATACAGATACTCGATCGAGTATGTGTAGAAATACCAGATTCGAGGTATACTCGATCGAGTATATGTTCATACTCGGTCGAGTATGTGCAGAAAGTGATATTCGAGCCATACTCGACCGATTTCGGATTTAAACTCAAAGGCATACTCGATCGGGTATGTCGGTCTACCCGATCGAGTATAGACACTAAATCGTGGCCAAAATCTTCCCGGCATGTTCCTTTGTCTTCGGATCCGATCCGATTTGAAGTTTCAACCTTATACTCGATCGAGTATAGGTAATACTCGACCGAGTATAGACCAAAATCAGGATTTTCCCTTTTGTCTTGTGATTTTGCACCTTCCTTCCACTTTTTGGGGTTCACCAACTGTCCTTTGAGTGATAGTAGACCTGTTTGAGCTCAGAATAATCCTAATCTAAACAATTTACAAGGATTTAACAAACTAAACTATTACACCAAAAGTGTGTAATTTCCAAAATATTAAACAACCAAAACTAGCTAAAAACATAAACAAACATACGGAAATTACAACGTATCATATACCCTCGGTCCCTCGCCCGTAGGTCTTTTTCATCAAGCAGGAACTCAAACGTTGAAGACGATGGTTGAGCGCGAGAATAGCCGAATTAAACAATCTGACGCGATTGAGCGCGAGAATAGCCGAATTGCTTCGACTGAAAGTCGAAAGAGAAACAGAGACGTCGAAGACAAAGATATGGCCAACAACAGATACCCGACTGGAAGGTACGTTTATGCTGGCCTCCCAGATGAGTACCGCGATGATGGATTCTATGAAGATTTCAAAGTATGATTGCTATTTTAATTTTTTTGAAATAGGAGTATTTACTATCATTTTTGATTTATTAATGTCAAAATAGTTACAATATTAGGCATTGACATGACAATATTTACTGCCCGGCCATTAATGACACTATTTTTCAATCATGACAATAACAACTCCTATTTTCAGAAGAAAGATATGATGCAAAGTAGTCCTATTTTGAAATTCTAAAACATGTTACTCCTATTTATGGCAATTTGCCTACAATTTAGTCATCGATTAACAATTATATATAGTATTAATTATGAATAATATTTCTTATAATCTTTATTTTTATAAAAGAACAAGACGAAATCCAAAATAGGAATAGTGTTTTAAATTAAACACCCATTCCTATTAAAATAAAAGATAAGGTATATAAAAATAACTCTATGTGACAATGAAATAAGTATAAATTGATAGTACAATTTATTGGTGTGTAATTTAAGCAAAAACACTACTTTAACTTTTAAAATATAAAAAACATTATTTTCTAATGATGATATACATCCCACAAATTAAAATCTCAACACTAAAAAGTAATTACCACAACCCGCAGCAATGAGAATAACTTTAATTATCAATACAAAATACACGAAGTACCCGTGTGATGCATGGCGTATACCTAGACTTGATAATAATAACTTATTTAAAATTATATTTTACAATGTTATGTAATGTGTAATTTTACCAAATAAAAAAGGCGATAGAGTTTATGTGTTGCAACTTTTATTAATTATATGCATGATAATAGCTCTAAGAAAATGCAAATTTGGATCGTATAAAATTGAAACTAACGTTAAAATAAACGATAAGGTATAACAATAACTCTTATGTGACAATAAATTAACTTGATATTAAATGTCATGAGACACACGAATAATTGTACTATCAAGTTATTTCATTGAATTGACACGTAGAGTTATTGGTTATTTGGTTATACCTTATCGTTTATTTTAATTTTACTTGATTTTTTTTGCGATCCAGTTTTTCATTTTATTACAACTACTACTACGAATATAATTAATAAAAGTAACAACACATAAACTTTATCGTCTTTATTTATTCGACAAATCCTATCCTATCCTATCCTATCCTATATATCTAAAGGGAGAATCCATCCTCCCAAAACTTTTCCCGCTTCTCACACCAAATCCTACATGCACCGTATAATTATTGTAATTAAACTAAATTAAATGCTTCTGTTTTTGCTCCCAGACTTTTCTCTTGCCCCCCCCCCCCCCCCCCCCCCCCCGATTTTTGCTTCAGTTTCTTCCGTTTCTTTACTTTCTTTTTCCATTTTTTCAGTTTCTTTAGTTTCTTTTTCAATTTGATGTCTCCAGCGTTCATTATCTCCTCAACCGTTCATTCTTTTCCATGTTCTCATTTGCTTCATATATTCCTCTTTTCCGCCTTCATCTTTCTCCGTCTGCTCTCCTCTTCTGTTTTCTTCCTCACCGGACCCCTGCTCCAATTCAACCGGCACCAAGAAACACTTCCTGCAATTTCATTTAAGATTGAAATCTTCACTTTGAGACCTTTCTTCTTCATGACCCCATCCGCACCGGTTCTAAGAATTGAAATCTTCACTTTCCCTGCAAAAAGGATGATAAGCTAAAGCTCACTAATTTTTACCTATTTTTTGGGACATTGATTTCTTCATAAATCAATCTATCTGCTATAAATATAGTAGATAACATGCAATATGCTTGGTTCTACCCAAGTTGTACTTCATATATATCTTTACATATCATTTGTTAATCTCAATCGTTCTTTTCTCTAATTTACAGGAGATAATGCTATGCTTATGTAATGAGTATGCTCAAATATAATACTAATAGATTATGATCTGGCAGAACCATAGCTATATTTTATTATGAACTTTTATATTGTGATGAAATGATATAGTTTTGAGAACACAATGTTACTTCTTCTATATTTCAACGCTCAGGTTGTGTACTTGTGTAAGTGCCCGATGTAAGCTGGTGCGACACCACAGCCCTTGGAAATGTTAAAACAGAGCTGCAAGCTAAGGGTAATGCAAAAGTTATTTTATTAGTTTTTCTCAGCATGTAATGCCCTAATCTAAAGTATTTTTAGTGTATGGTATAACCTATTTACTACTCCCTCTGTCCCATTTTATAATACTATCGTATATCTTTACTACTCTCTTGGTCAACACAAATTGCTCTTAATCTCTTACTTTGTATATCAAAATTTAATGAAATTTGAATTATTTTTTGCAGGTTTTGTAGCGGTTTTAATGTAGTTTTTGAATATGTATTTTTTATAAAAATAATTTGAGTGCAGACAGAGATGCATTTGCTTTATCTTCGGTCAAACATCGTAAACCGAAAAGTATCTTATAATTCGGGACGGAGGGAGTATCATTCACTTAGATGGTCCAACATCATGTGAAGCACCCAAAGAAATTCGAGAATTTTATTATATCACCCTCAAAGGGTGTTCTATTTACGGCCCACCAGTGTATGGAAAAACTTTGACGGCAAGACTAGCAAATGAGTATCAAACCAACCTGATCAGTTTCAAAGGGCCTGAACTGCTCACCATGTGGCTTGGTGAGTGAGATCATTGTTCATGAAGTTTTTAATAATGCACCTGGGGTTTTATTCTTTGGTAAGGCCTCTTCATGGGCTCATCTAACTTTTTAGCCTTTCAGACGTTCTCAACCATGAAGTATCTCTCCAAGACGATGTAGTGATCTGTTTTGTCCTGAACCACTTTGTTGAACATAACACTGCCGAAAACTTTTGTGGTTTGAAGAACTAATTATGGATTGACATAGCTCAACCCCTTTATCTTTAAAATCATGTACTCCATTTAATCCTCAGGTAACTGTGCTAAGGACAACATATGTTCCAAATATATGATGTTGATCTAGATGTATTATATATTTGTAAACCAATATGTAACACATTCTTCCATTGATCTATATATGGCGGGTGATTTGAGATTACTGAAAATGAGTTGGTTGTACTATATTGTGGGATGTGTCCTATCCTCTTCCTCACTATATATATTAATATGCTTTTTTCAGGTCCTAAGAATTATGAAATGCATTGTTGGTCTAAATATGGTGTTGATCTAGATGTATTGCATATTTCAAATCAAATCCAATGTAGCACATGCCTTTATTGATCTCCAAATATGGTGTCAATCCCAGTGTACTAAGAATGTATTGTTTGGTACGTACTACATTGTGGCAGCTTAGGCATTTTCTTTTACTTGAAAGATAATATGGTTTTTAGACGCATAATTAGCACAACACATTGCTCACTTTGGTAGTTCGGAATTGTTTTTTCTTCCTGACAAAAGCTCCACTCTTTCTATTCAAGGAAGTTTTATATGTTATGCCATGGATACGAAAAGGAACTGCCAAAGCTACTGTTGTATTATTCAAAGGTTTGTCAAAACAATGTAACGATAGGAGCTTATGTTGTCAAAATGTCAAATTACTGAATTTCTAAGCGTTGTTAGTTCTTCTTAAGTTCTCCATGCCTTCC